ACTAACGTTGAAATTGAAAGATAAGGAAGACTCACAGTATTTTAAGATATGGGACAGTTGGTATGAGCGGATAAACCAATGGAATAGAAGGTAAAGTCAAAATTTAGTAAGAAAATAAAAGTAATAATTATACACCATCATTAAGGAAAAAAAGGAAAATAAATTTTTGTATATATTTGTACTTATATATATTATATATACTTTGTTTGTTGTTTGTTGATACTGTTGATTGTATTTTAAGGTTGTGAATGTTTTATACAATTTTATCTTTTTTAAATCTAATAAAGTTTGTTTTTTAAAACCAAAAAAAACCAACAACAATGGAACATCCAACAGATTGCTGCCTCTTCTGTCTGACAATGTTATTTTTCAGAAGAAATAAGGGGTCAGCTATAATGGGCCTCATCCCGACAACTGGTATTAACCAATAGATTGAAGGCCTTAAGTACCTTGGATAAAAGCAACTGTGTGAATTCATGTTGGAATTCAAGGGAACTAGAAGAGGAAAATCTGAGAGATGTCAGTCAGGTGTCTAGGACTTTGCGAAGGTGTCTGAGGAAGGAGAGGCAATTAGGGTGGACATTTGTGTTGTTATGTTGTGATGCAATCCCCATGATTTATGCATTTGTGTTGGGATCCAAGTATAAAAGGGTGGGAGTTACAAGTTGGATATACTCAGCTCTTTTACTCATTAAGAGAAAATGGAGACCCACCAATATCCAAAAGCTGTCCTGTGCAGATCTGTTCTTTATTGAAAATGAAGATAAGACAACCAATTAAAAGAAGGAAACATCAGATTTTCTGATTTTTTAACAGCGATGAAGCAGTAAAATAGTTTGTCTAAACATTGATAGGTTCTCCCTCACTGGAGATTTTTTTAAATAGGCTGAATAGCTATTTGCCTGGGTGGTTTAATGGTTTTCCCACTGCACTGTAGTTTAGAATAGATGATCCATATATTGTATGATGCCACGCAACTGATTTGGTCCAAGATTTCTGCAGACCTGATGTGTTTTGCGAATGCTTAAAACAGGAGAATTCCAAAATGTCTTCAAGGAGAAGAAGAGACACAGTGCATAGGTCTTCTGAAGTGTTTTGCCTACAGATTTCTGCCAGGGATATCCTCCATGACTTTAAGGAGACACATTCCACTGTTTATTAGATTACAGTCATGGTTATGTATTACACTGCCACTCGACTATGGGTTTGTCAGCATTTCCATAATAAACCTTTAACTTCTATGATTTATTGCCTAACTATTAAAAATATTGCTTGAGCAGAAATTTGGAAGCCTGAATGTTTTGGGAACACAGTGAGGGAAATCTGTAGCAGGAACCACCACTTAATTCTATGAGTATTTCATCATGGATACTTTATATCTGAAGCTGATGTAAGGTTGAAGTATATTTTAGGTGTCCTTTGATAATATTGTCTATAATTCTGCCAGATACATTTCTGGTATGCCTGTCTCTTCGAATAGAAAATTGTATATTAAAAAATAAAATACAGTACAAAAATAGATCTCAGCATTATTTTTCTCAACTATGTTTTATCTATATACTTAATAATGGTGAGATCTGTTTTTGTATTCTTTGCAATTTTGCTTCATAACTCATTTTTATTTTAACTTATTAGTTTATAGAAACACAAGGGGAAATATAGAACACCTCCTCCTAGTCTCCCCCGCAACAACCCTATCAGGTAGGTTCGGTGAATTGCTTAGTGGGTTTCCATGAAGAGATTGGCTTGGAATCTAGGGCTTTTTACTCTAATTCAGCGGTTCCCAACTTTTCTGGTTTCATGGACCGGCAGTGTGTGTGTGTGTGTGTGTGGGAACGGGGGACGACAAGAGGATGGTTTCACGTGCGCACTTGCGCAAATGGAGCTTTGTGTGCTCATCTGCTGCTTGGACGGCCCACTTCCTAATATCGGGCCAGGGGTTGGAGACCCCTGCTCTAATTTATTACGTCACTGGCTCTCTTAATAAGTGACAATTGCGGTTCAAATCAAATCAACACTATCTTCCTCCTCCCCCTATTTCTCCTTTTTTTTTTTTCATTTTACAAAATGTGCCTGCTATCATCTTAAACAACTTTAGCTGGTTTACAGCAAAATAAATATAGGCAATCCTTGCTTAGTGACAATTGGGACCAGCAAACTCAGTTGCTAATCGTCATGGTAATTTGGAAGATCGTATTACTACAATGGACTAACAATGTCAGTTCCTTTCCCGCCATTAAACAAGTCACCATAGTTGCAAAATGAGATGTTAAATACCAGTAGGTTTTGCCCCATTTTACCATATTTGTTAAGTGAATCATTGCAGCTGTTAAGTTAGTAACACAGTTATTAAGTGAACCTGGCTTCCCCATTGACTTTGCTGGCCAGAAGGTTGCAAAAGGTGATCACGTGACACCCCCCCCCAAAAAAAACCCCCACTGCCAACCATCATACATTCCAGTTGCCAAGTGTTCAAATCTTGATCACATGATACTGCAACAGTCAGAAATGTGAAAAATGGTCATAAGTCACTTTTTTCAGTGATGTTTTAACTTTGGAGGTTATTATAACAAATGGTTGTAAATTGAGGACTACCTGTACTTGGAATGAAGGGGCCCACTTTTCAATAGTTTTGCTCCTACCATTTTTTAGCAATTTAGAGTAATACATATGTGTGTGGGGGGTGGATGTGTGGTGCATTTTCTCATGTGAATTGCTCTTCAGAGTCCCATATTCATCTTGTATGCTTCTTAAGATGGTTTAGAAACAGTTATTTTTTTACTGTAAAATCAGTATTACTATACTGATCTTTTAAAGCTCCTTATTGATTTTTGTTTACTGATGCAATGGTTTCCCCTTCCTGTTTTTTTTAAAATCAAATTCTTTTTTATCCTTGAGTCATAGAGATATTGACTTTACATTGATGAAAGTATCAATTTCAAAAAGCAGCTTTATTTGAAACAGCTGAGATCTTGCAACAATACCTTTAATATCATCAAACAATCTCCCTATCCCAGGTCCTTGGGCATGACTTGGTAGGTAAATAAAAATGCCAAACAGTCTAACTATCTGATAAAAAAAGTCATTTTTAGACTAATTAACATCCACTCACATCTGCTGCCTGCAATTACTGCAAGTTCAAATCTCACCAGGCTCAAGGTTGACTCAGCCTTCCATCCTTTCTAAGGTAGGTAAAATGAGGACCCAGATTATGGGGGCAATAAAATGACTTTGTATAAATTTACAAAAGTATGAAGGCTATTGCTTAATGCATTGTAAGCCGCCCTGAGTCTCCGGAGAAGGGCGGCATATAAATCAAATTTAAAAAAAAAAAATTCACAAAAAGAAGTGAGTTACAAAACATCAATTTATTTAATTTTCCCCTCCTGCAATGCTCTCTCTGCTACCTATTTATTTAACATTTCAGATGGGTTGAACTTCCTATAATCTAGCTGGAAAAGACAATAGCAAATATGCAAGGAATCCCAGCCCAGGAAATCAATCGCTGTGGTATAGTACAGGGGTGTCCAACCTTGGCAACTTTAAGCCTGGCGGACTTCAACTCCTAGAATTCCACAGCCAGCAAAGCAAAGCTGGCTGGGGAATTCTGAGAGTTGAAGTCCGCCAGGCTTAAAGTTGCCAAGGTTGGACACCCCTGGTATATTATATTTGGCCCAGATAATCTTGTTAACTCTTTGGAACTAACTTTCCATCTGTATTGGATTGCTAATAAACTTTCATTTCCATTTAAAGTCATTACATCGAGGACCAAATTATTTATTATGCTGAGTTTGTAAAAATATAATGCTACCCATATTTTCTGATTTTCCTAAATTGATTTAAAGGGAGGATGATGTTTTTCTAATTGTGGTATACAGAGAGGTGATCTGAAATTAAGATGTCAAGTACCTTCTCTACACCTGTCCTTTATGTATTATTCCAATTTGTATAGGAGTCCTCTTACCATGTGACACCTTAACGCAAAAGTTACTGCTTATAGAAATACTTTTATTAGGTTTCATAGCAATTTTGGGGTGAGGGGGAGGTGGGAGAGAATGCAGCTTCCTTCCTTGTCATCCCAAGTGATTTCTATCTTGATTGATTCCCACTGCAGTAGAATTCAGGTAATTCTCGACTTATGACCACAAAATTTTATGGCGCCCAAAATTTCCTCGGCTAATCGAGGTATTTGTTAAGTGAATTTTGCCCCATTTCTTGCCACAGGTAAATGAATCACCGCAGTTGTTAAATTAGTAACACAGTTGTAAAGTGAATCTGGCTTCCCCATTGACTTTGCTTGTAGAAAGTTGCAAAAAGTGATCACATGACCCTGGGACCCTGCAATGGTCATGAACCAGTTGCCAAGCATCTGAATTTTGATCACATGATACTGCAAAGGTTGTAATTGTGAAAAATGGTCATAAGGCAATTTTTTCAATGCTGTTGTAACTTTGAACGGTCACTAAATGAGTGGTTCTAAATCAAGGACTACCTGTATTCCCTTAATCATATAAAACAATACAATCTACCAATGATTTTTAGATTTTCATTTTGGCTGTATACAGCATCCTAAGAAATGTTCTCGGCAATTTAGTGGGGGAAGGATATATTGAGCTGGGCTTTTACAGCGTTAGTCCCCTTGAGGCTAGTGATGACACTATTAAAAATAAATATGAAAGTACAGTATGAAGAAAACTCAGACGCTATGACCCAAATATCACTAGCCATGTAAACCATCCCCCACAGCAATCCGAAATGAGTTATAATCCGCGGAAACCCAGGTCGCAACCAAGGCGTAAACTTTACAAAATCTTTGTTGAATATATTTTTTTTCAAGAGATCCAGAGTTTTGCCATCCTGTATTCATTTAAGAGCTGCAGAAGAGAAAGCGTTCGCCAAGCTCCGTCGTGGGAATGGTCACGCAGGGAAACTGGCCGATGGCGGAGGCAGACCAGCCGGCTGTACCAGGCAACGTACCTCGGTCTCTTTCTTTCAGCAGGGCAACTCGTCTCGTTATGAAACTGCCAACTGCTAGATAGAAGATCTTGCAACGTGGTTACAGGCGAAGTCTGCTCTCAATGCTGCCTCTTTAGCCGCCGATGGATTAGAGAACAGAAGACAGTGAGCCGCCGTTTCCCTTTTGCAATGATAGTGGAGATCAAAGCATTCAACCGAATCTATCGATTGCCTCCAGGTAGATGCCTCCTCTTGCACGCCTCGTCGACTATGAAGCCGATAGTCTTTTTAAGGGACACCCTCGCGTGAATATTCGGAAGAACTACATTACCCAGAAATCAACGCGCTAGTCGTGCAAAGGACGTCTGCGCACTAAGACACTCGGATCCAAGTTTGGAGCTTTTAGCTGCCAGTCCTGGCCCATCATGTAGGTGCAGCACAGCTTTCCTTCCCATTGCAATAGCGGGAGAAACCCCACTTTGCAATCTGTTTTGCAAGGCGTGCAATTGCAGCTCCTTCCTCTGCAAGGAAATCTGCTGTGAGAAGTCAGAAAAACTCCAGTTGCATGAAGATTGAGCGCTTGCAGTTTGCATCTTTGTTGCAAAACTAGCTACAGAAGGCAAAGTCTTTTGTGTTCCCCTCCCCCATCAAAGCAGAGGGGAAAATGTCTCAGAGAGGTAAGGCTCGGACTTGCGTTATTTGCAGATATGCAAAAAGTCGTTCATGCATTTTGGAATTGCATGCATGCAATTTGCGGGATACCATTGCATTTTGAAGTTTGAGGCGCTGAATAGCTCTCAGTTGCATTTCCTGTTTAGTATCTGTGTGCTTTTTGCAGGCACACAAGCACACACACACGCGCGCACATACTCGGGCGCGCGGCGTGCACGCACACACAGAGTTCCTGTAAGGCAGGGCTTGCAGTTTAGTTGTGCATTGACGTTATTTGCATTCTTTTGCTGGGATTCCTGAGCTTGTGCCCCCCCCTCCGCCTTTTGCAGTCTAGATTGATAAAGGGTTTTGAAAAGCTTATGCATGAGCAGCTGTACCAATTTCACCCCCCCGCCCCCCCTAAGGCCAATGCAGATAAATCTGCAGACAGTTTTCAATGCAGATTTAAATCCTTGCGTGCGTTTTAAATCTCCGGAGGAAATGGAAGGTGAAACTTGAGTGGAGTTAACCAAGAATTAAATATAAGTCTCGGTTTCTATGGGAAAGTATTGTTCTGATGCCCAGTGTTGAGCTCATTTTCCATAGACTTGGCTCCCTTCCCCTCGTCGCAAGTAGTATGCGTATTGCAAAGACTAGATTTGAGAAAGTTACGCAGGGGGCTCGCCTGATCTTACTTCGGAACGCGGTTTTTGAAGATGAAGACAGAGCAGAGAGGCTTCTGTGAGTCTTACGTGAGAGTACGGTTAAAGGTTGGGAGAAATGGAAAGCTTGCATTTGACACGAATGCGGGAAGAAGTGCGGCTTGCCGTGGCTCATTCAAACTTTAGGGAGAATTCGCTGAACGTAGGAGGAGTAGTTCTTTGAATCGGGGGCCCCTCTCGTTTCGGGGGTGGTATGTTCTTGGAGTTTTCTTGGCTGCATCTTGGGGGAAGAGTGTGGATCCGGGACAGAGGCTGCGGGATGAGCTCCGAAAGGCCACTTGTAAGAGTTGCTCGGTGAGTAAACAGCGCCTAAACAAGACAAGGACAGAGACAGGCGTCGCGGTTGCTGTTTGGAAAGGAAAAAGCTGGTGGCCAGCCCTCTATTTTCCCTTTTCTCTCTCTCACGCGCACACACACACGGCAGGCACACACAAACGTTGCTGCTTTTCGGGGCGGCCGAATTGCATAATTGATTCCCCGTTTGCTGCAGTGATCTCTCCCAGCCAAATGGAGGTTTTGGTCCTATAAAAGCTCTCTCCTTATGGCCAGGCTGTCTACACAGGCTTTTTCATCCAACGGGCTAATTTATTGAATAGTGAGAAAGGAATCCGTCCTTTGATACGTAGAGGAGGAAAAGTGGTGTAACTTTTTTTTTAACGCCTCTCTCCAAAGCCTTGGAAAAACCGATGGAGGGCTGAAGTAAAGATGCGGTGATTTCTCACATTTTATTTCCCCCCCTTCCCCCCGCCTTCATTTACCGCCAAACACAAAGCTAGTCTTTTGCCTGCCTCTAGATTTCTGGGAAAAAAAGATTGCTTTGGCCACTCTGGTCTTTCTTTGACTGCTTTCCAGCACCATCCAATCTCAGCTTCCTCATATATTTAAATGTACAATATAGTATTTTCAAAGAGAGAGAATGGCAGCTATTTGGACATTGTAATATGGAAATGGACATCCTTACCTATGATCTCCTCCCCGCTTTTGAAGAAAAGTGCAACTTTAGTAGTAGGTACTGAGAACCGGAAATATGTCACTATAAAAGTATCTCACTGTTTTCTGGGCCTTGATTGAGTGTGGTATCTGGTCTTACCAGTTTAATATTTGTTATATTCCGTATTTGAGAAGTAGTGTTAAGCAGTTTTGAGGATGTTCCAGATTTTATTGGCATCTGAAGTGCCCCCCTTTCTCCGGCTATATTGGCATCTATGATGATGACATTTTTCCTTGACTGCCATATTTATTTACTTTTCTATTGTGTAGTAATTGTTTTTAATTGCTTTATGATTGCTCACAGCCCAAAGTCACTTGTTTGAGATGCATAGCTATAGGAATTGAATAAATAATTTAAATAAATAAATATAAAGTATTTTTTTTTAAAAAAACGTGATTATGAGCTGATTTGCTATGTGGTTTAGTTAGCACATGCATGGAACTTTACAGAATAACATGAGCTACAGACAAATTCCTTTCCCAAAGATCTTACAATCAGCACTTAGCTAGAGAGTGTTGAGGCCTCTTAATAAAGTAAAAAACAATGGAATTTTCTCTGGCCTCGCAGTATTTTTCTGAACGAAAAGACTAGGATTTTGTAAAAATGCAAACTGTTGATTGTCCTGAGGAATATATTTTAAAAAAGAAGCTTGGTAAGCTGAACTGTAAGTTTCTAACAGTGGTTGATTAAAAACATAAAAAAGAAAATAAACCTTGTTACCCAAAAATAATATATAGTCAGACTTGCATAAAATGCAGTGGGTGTCACACTTCCCAAGAATATCTACAATATTAGTGAAGTTGTGGTTATATTTTGAGGTCAGTATTGTGGAATTTACTTTAGTCCACAACTCTATTTTCATCTGCAGAAATGGTTTGCCTAGATCTATATGGGAAAAAATTAATTACAGTACTAGTAACTCTAATTGTGGCTTGATTTTTCTTTATTCCATGTCCTGTCATCATTCCAGTGCTTAATTACCTGATGTTCCAATACCTCTGTTCTGAGAGTCATTTTTGCTCTCATAATGCAGAGTTGTTTTAGAAAATCTACGGCTTGTTTCGTTTAATAAATACTTAAGGTATGCCAGCTGGACATCCAGCTTGGCTCCTTCCTTATAATGGATTTCTGTGCCATCTTGTTCTCATTTCAAGAAGATTTGGCAGGAGGTTGGAGACAGATTACAGAATGAGAATTTATCCATGTGGCATGCCATGTGTAGACTTGGCATGACAAAGCAGTTCTGGATGGCCTCCAACTACCAGTATTGACTTCAGTGGTACTATTTTCCATCAATCATTTGAATAGTTTTCAATTGTGTCAATGATTGATTGATTGGTTGCCTAAGTGTCATTGTTGAATGTTAGTAATCACATTCTGGGGACCTCATCAACCCCTTCATGAAATTTCAGATTGTTCGTTGATCCCCCAAACATTGTATTATATGAAAACAATTTACTAAACACTACTTAGAGTAATAATATTTTTGTTAATAGGTTCCTTGGGTGCAATACCAAAATCATTGGAGTGCCACCTGAACACTATTGGCATTGACAAATTCATCATCAGTCAATTGCAGAAGGCAATTGGAACAATTTAGATTCTGCAATAATACCTTGTAACATCATCAGACTTCCACATCTGCCTAACCCTTGGGAAGGACTCAATAGGCAGATAAAAATGTCAAATCCAGTCTGAATATATGGATGACTGTGTGACAAACCATAATAAGATTGACCCCTTGGATATTCTCATTGACCCTTGGGTGTCAATATTGACTCCTTTGGAGAATGCTGACATAGACAGATTTTCTCCAGGTGGATCTGATCTGCCTCCAACCTGATTCTTCAGGTTTTCTAATGGTGCATCCATCATTGCAATTATTTATTTAAAACATTTTTGTAGCTGCCTATTTTATATTGAACTCTGGGTAGCTCCCAATTAACAATTAAACCTCCATCAATAAAACAACATAATACATATACCTATTAAAACTATAAACTTAAAAAAAAAACTTCGGCACTGAAACTAAACTTTAGTGCTGTCCCTCATTAAATTCTTTCATCCACCTCACTCTATCCCAAGTGCTCAGGGAAAAGATTTAAGTGCTTTTTGGAAGGCAAGGAGAGCAGAGACCTACCATACCTCAAGGAAAAGGGTATTCCACAGGAGAGGGACTGCCATGGAAAAAGCAGGCTTCCTAGATTCCATATATAGCAAAGGGAAGGGACTAGGAATGCGCCCAATGCATCTGATCTGAGAGGACAGGTAGATGTCCTTTGGAAGAGATGATCCTGCAGATAACCTAGCTTTGTGCTATATAATAAAAGTAATAACCAGCATCTTGAACTGCACCTGGAAGGAGACTGGGAGCCAGTGTTTTGAAGGGTTCTGAAGACCTGTTCAAATTACTGCAATGTGCTCTACATGAGGCTGTTCTGGAAGATCACCTAGAAGCTACAACTGGTTCAGAATGTGGCGACGTGTACAGTGATGGCTACTCCTAGGTTTACCTATGTAATGTGATTTCATATTCATCCTTAACAAAATTATTTAAATTCCACAGTTCCTCTCGTTCCAGAGCAATAAGGTTCAAGCAAAGTGATTCCTGATGTTCTTCATGAAGATGGTGGGAATAAGCTAAACTTCACATTGTGACAACTGGTTGGCTTTCTGCTTTCACTTAACGATAGCTTAACTTGAAAGTTTGTGATTTGTTCCTCAATCAGCCGCTGACCGCGTATTTGCTGTTACAGTAAAACTAAGCCTTTCTACTTCTTTCTACTAGTAATACAGTTAATTTGATTTGGTGATATTCAGCTGTGTATGCATGTATGCGTATGTAGACACAATTCTTTTAGTTATTTGAAGATTGTGTTGGCAGTGAAGAAATCATTGGATTGCCAAAAGTTTGTAAGAGAGTTCTGAATAGAATATGAATTCACTGCCTTACAGCAGTTGCGTCTTCTGATAGACTTGCATACCTGCTTTGCAATTTGTGCTTTATTTTGCCTGTGACCTCAGTAGTAATGCTGTCTGCATGTAGATGTCTGTGTAGAAAACCAAAGACAACTTTGAAGCAACAGAGCTTTATGAGTGCAGATGTTTTAACGTTTCAAAAATAGAAGTTTTGTTTCAATTGATGTGCTTCCATAACTCTCATTCGTTCATTGTTGGACATTGGAAAACTTGATGTTATTTCAGGATTCTGGGAACTGCAGTGTAATGCATCTGGGAGGTGCTTGATTGCGACAGGTTGCTATAGATACAACTTTCATGTCTTTTCAGGATCAGCTCAAGTAATTTTCTCTGT